CCCATATGTCAGATGACATGGTGCAGCTGGCAAGAGGTTGATTACCACTGAAATAAACTATTCCGTGGTTCAGGGGACAGAACTAGTACCAAGGGTCTGAAATTGGAACAAGAGAATTTGTGTAGAAGATTAGGAATAACTTTCTCACTATGAGAGTGGTAAGCATTGGAACAAGCTACCCAGATAGGTTGTGGAAGTCCATTCCTGGACGTTTTTAAGAGCAGGCTAGACAAGCACTTGACTGGGATGGTTTAGACAGGAACGGTCCTGGCTTGAGCAGGGACCGACCTAATGAAGATCCTCTACCTTACCTTTCTATCTAATTCTATCCTCCCCTGGTGGAGAAGATTCAAAGCCATGTCTCCATTCTCCCAGAAAAGCACCAAGCCATGGGCATTTATAAAAAAAATAATTTAACAAAATCACCATCTCTTTTGAATTGGCTCTTTCCCCATAGCACTCTGTCACCACTAGCTTGGTAGGATGTTCTTTTCCGCCACTCCATCATCCTCTTTTGGTTTTTTTCTCTGACTATTGATACTTGGCTATTTACCATAGTATCTGAAGATTTGATCCACAAATGTACATAGAAATGCAACATTTCACTTTGTGGTGCTCAAGTTATAGGTGTTTAGCTCTGTAGCAGAATCCACAACCCCGAGTTAAATGCTTCAGGTCCGAATACAATACATGCAGGGAATCAGACACCTCAGAAGAGAAGAGGTTCAGAGAAGGTGACATACTGATTGGAGAGCCATGTATGGTAGCCAATAGGAAACTCTAAGAACAGAGTTGTTTCTAAATCTTGTTGGTTTCAGCAGGTAAACTGGTTCCTCACTTCTGAAAGCACAACTGTTTTTTCTCACAACAATACCTTTTTCTTGATCCACCTATTCAACTGCTTTCAAAAAGGTAGGCACTACAATCATTTTTCCTGTTCACCCTCTCAGCTGGAACTCTGGAAAATCCTCTGGTTTTCCCTTAAACAGCTACCATATAGTCCAGCAGCTCTACTACTTCAGTCCTTTCTCTCACTGAGCGGTCTCATCAGACCTAATTAACAGTTGTTGTTTTTCCCTGTTCAGGTCTATATTTTCTAAAGAAAATACCTTCTTTCATCTTAAAGTCAGAGGAACAACCAACATGCTTAAATGTAATCATGAATTGTAAACTATATTGGAGCCCAAGAAAGCAACAAGCACAGTAAAATCTTTATAAGTGCCTATGTCACATAGGAACTACAGACATTTTTTCCAGTGTGCATATGCCAAACAAACTGTAAGTTACATGGCTGATATATACAGGACTTTGAAAATTGTTTTGAATACTATAAAATAGTTTTATTCTACTGTCTATACTAGTATTGCTATATCATAAGCAGGGATCCAGATTTTCTGTTCACTATGGAAAAATGGGGTAAAACCCGGATTTTCTCCTTTAAAAAAACATGGGAAATGGTGGGTTTCCCTTTGCAGGCTGGCAGAGTTCTAGCTTGCAAGGGGCTTGGGGAAACAGGAGAAGGGCGACCGGGCAGGGGGTGCCATGTGCATGTGCACATGTACGCCAGTCAACCCGGAGAGCAGCTCCAACCGGTAAGTCTGGTGGTGGGGATGGGGGCTGGGATTGAGACCCCCATAGTGAGAGGAAAAGGGAGGGAGGCAGTTGGGCAGGGCTGAGGCTGGGGTTGCTGCTCAGCCAGCACAGTGTGCGGGGCTTGGGGCCAATGTTCCCTCTAAGGAGCAGCGGTCCATGAGCGCACCGCCTCAGTCCGACGTGGGACACTTACTGAAGGGAGCCGAGGGCTGCAGGCTGGAGCTGGGGCCGGATGCTGGGGGCTGGAGGCTGGTTCCAGGGGCCGGAGGCTGGAGCCGGAAGCCAGGAGCCAGGGGCTGGGACCAGGGGCCAAGGGCTGGAGCCAGGGGCTGGTGGCTGGAGCCTGGGGCCAGGGGCTGGAGCCGGGGACCAGGGGCTGGAACCAGAGCCTGGCACAAGCTCCCCAGCTCTGGGGAAGTGCTCTGCTCCCCCACATCAGGGTCGGGGGCTGGCGTGGGCTCCGCTGGCTCCAGGGAAGTGCTCCACTCCCCAGCTCTGATGTGGGGGAGCAGAGCACTTCCCCAAGCTGGCGGAGCCCACACCAGGCTTCTGCCACTGCCTCTCCTGGGGCGTGGCCTTGAAAAGGCTGTGCGCAGCCACACTTTTAGTTGTGTGCGGCCGTGCACACCTTAGAGGAAACCTGCTTGGGGCCTAGGGCCAGAATGCGTGGTTGCAGTTTCTGGGCAGGGAATGAGAAAAGACCGGAGGCAGCTCATCTGGAGGGGAAGGGGAATTCCGGTGGGGCGTGCACTCCCAGTGGGGACAATAGGGGACACGTGGCCCCCAGATCTGTGCATGGGGCTCGCAGTTCCCACCCTGCTGCCCCTTCCCTGGGGACCTCTGCAGCCCAGTGGGTGAGACCCAGCACAGGAGGGCAGAGAAGGTCGGGGAAACTCAGTGCTGCTGCTTCAAGCCCCGCTCCACCATGTCACGACACTCGCTGCCCACCCAGCAGCAGCAGGGGTGTTACTACAGATTTGTGTCCTTCACTGCTGCTGGGTGGGCAGGGGGTGCCTTGCAATGGCAGCGCAGAGCTCCCAGCAGCAGCAACAAGCTTCCCCACCCAGTCCTGCTCTGTCCTGCCACGCCAGGTCCCAGCCACTGGGTTGCAGAGGCCCCAAAGTAAGGGAAGCAGGGCGGGAAGCCTGAGCCCGCAGCCCACACCTTTCCCCCACTCCCAACAGGCTCTGCTCTGGCCATGCTGCCCATGGGGGGAGGAGGAATCTTGCTCTGAGTTCTGCTCCACCGCAGCAGCCATCACCTCCCGTAGGCAGCAGCCAGGGTTCAGGTCCTGCTGCGGGGGCAAGGGGCTACAGACCCAAGTCCCTGACCCCGAAGCCCTTGCAGCTAGGGATCCCCTACAGTAAGGTGGGGGGAGCAGGGGGCTGTGGGTGGGGAGTGAGGGGCAATGGATTGGGCAGGACAGCGGCATAGCATATCAGGGCCGCTCAATGCCACAAAGCAGTTGGACCTGAATCCTGGTGAGCAAAGGGAACAGGGGGAGTTCTGATTTTCCATGATAAAAAACCCAAAATCAAACGCCCACAGTTATAGGTATTTAAAATGTATTTTATTATACTGATTGAGGCACTGGTAGACTTGCAAACATTGTAAATATATCAAAAAACCATTGTGTTCAGCTGATATATATATATAGATATAGATATAGATATATATCTCTATATAGCTGCAGTGGTGTTTCATTTTTTTAAAAAAATCACAAAAATATGGATTTTAGGGTTTTTAATGAGATTTTGCCATTTTTATTAAAGAATTTGTGATTTTTAAACAGAGAAAACAGGATCCCTGATCATAAGAAATAGTTTTCACATACTAGAAACTTAATAGTATTAGATTTCAAAATTAAAGTAGCAATTTTACTTATAGTAGGAAAAAAATTAAATTTATCATAGAATTTTTCCTTTGGTTATAATCCCACAAAAAAAGCTAAACTGGAACATATTAAATCCCCTCTGAGGTGGTTTAACAAAATTTGCCAATGTGTAACAACAACAACAAGGAAAACATGTTGAGATGAAAGGCCATATGTTTTAATTGTGAAAGATGTTCTGAAGTAGGCACACTCACTACCTGCTGTTATCTGGCAACAGTATTAAAGCACCTGAAGTAACAATGCAGGTCTCTTTGTTAATTATCAGTTTTCAGATGAAAGAAAGATCTTGATTTTTTTTTTCTTTTAACTTCTTGGCAAGAACAAGTCTAGAACTTCCAGTACAAAGCAATCATGTTTTCTTCATTATCATGTCATGTTGAGAAGTTTCTGACTATCTGCTCCTGGGGTTAAGCAATGTCTCATGAAAATGCTTATGTCAGATGTTTGTACCGCAACTCATTATGTGGGCAATTCTAAAGTCAGGTATGAAAGTACACACAAAAAATAACCTGCAGTTTTGATGAGAGCTCCGTGTTTATATGCATCAATGCCTCTGCTCTCCTAACTGAACACTGCTTGCAACCCGTCATTTTCAAAGGACAAAAACAAATGCCATATCATTCTTATTAAAAATGAATGCAACACCCTCTTCTAACAATACCTATTACTTTATCTATCTATCTACTATACCATTAGTTGTAAGACTAATAAAGCTAGTCAGCAGGCTAGCACTTTAATGAAATAGACACTGAGTTCCTGGAAGGAACACCTGTGGTTCAGACTCTAACACCTCAGATCAAATGTGAGCTTTCTTCTGGTTGCTGAGCAGTAAGTTTTTCTGGATCTTGATCAAACAAGCTCCCAAGGAAGGAGTAGGTAATAATATGGTGCAAAATATTGCAGTGTGTGGGAGGGTGGGTGGGGGAGTAGAGCAGAACGTGGGGGAAAAAATTAAATTGACAGCTTTTACAATTAGGTCAGTTGAACAGCAAGACAAACTCACAGCAATTCTCCTCAATAAGCAGCAATATAATCAGGCATATATTAATCATCATTAAAAAAACAACACTCATCAACATAATAAATATTTTCATAGAATGTAGCAAATTTCTAGTCTTACACAGATATTTTCAATTCTGTTCCCTTTCTGCAGCTGAGCAATCAAGTTACATATGACTGAATAAATATACCCCAAGGGCTATCGAATGAAAACGAGGCCCAACATGCTGAGCATCAGAAAAGCAGAAACTAATCAGCAAAGCTTCTCTTCTCTAGTGTCCCACTGCCTAATAGATCTAATTGTTGTTTACTCTCTGTGCCTTAAGGCAAATGGATGAAGAAGTGACAAACTGGCTTCCTCTCTTTAGGACAATTGAAAATTTCCTACTCACTGTCCCTTTTCACTTAACCCCAAAATTTCTCAACTCAAAGTCTACCACTAAAAACAACCTTGTTTCTTAATCCTGGTGAGAGCTCTTTTGGGCAGGTTTTATGATCCAAGGGAACATCTTACCTAATTTGGGCAGGGAATAGGGCACTTTAAAGTAGTCTTCATAAAATTCAATGAGTCTCCTTGTAATATTTAGAGCATAGTCTCCAGATCCTCTTCTGATTGCATCCGGCCTGGCATACAATCTCACCTGACAAAAAACAGAACAAGAGCATGGTCATTTCAGCACCCACATTTTAAAACTATCCTAATCGCAGAGATGATCTATTCTAAGGTTGTGGGGGGAAGTGGTAGGTGGAGGTTAGTCTCTACTGCATGTTTCTCAATACTGTGGCTGAGGAACTTGCGCAATTAAGGTAACAAAGTTGGGAAAGTCACAGTCCCCTAACTGCTTGTGTTGCCAAAGAAAAGACTTAACATTCCTTGTATCAAAATAAATATTCAAAGCAATCACTTACATGTGTTTGCTAGAGATATGATGGTAGAGTGGATTAGTATAATGGTTCTCTGCCTACTCAGAATACAGGCAGGATGCAATGGCGCAGTAGGAGAGAAGTTCATGGTTTGTTAAAGGCACATTATATCAAGCCCTGAAAGTATTATAGGCTGGATAAAAAATATAATTCCTTTTTCCTCCTTTTCTCTGGCACTGACACAGTTACCCTTGATTAACAAACTATGATCACAAAAGCAACCATTTATAAGATCATTCATGTACAATTAACCATTAACACTCCTAAAGCCACCTACGACAGCTCCAGGCCCCTTTTTCATAATGCAGTAAGAAAAAGCTACTCATATTTACTCAATTCAGTTTTGTATTGAATGCAATTCAGTTTTGTATTGAATTGCATTCAATACAAAACTTTTCAGTTCTTTAACTGCATACATCAAAGTAGAACAACCATTCCTTCAATAACCACCCTTTCTAATTAAGGGCTGAAGTATGGCTAACTCTTGAACATATGAAGGCAGCTACTTCAATATCCCCAGAAGTGCACTGACCACAGCTCCCTGCCTTTCAGTCTCTTCATTGCAAAGACCATGAATCATCCAGCTCCACTAAGCTTTACAAAGAGGATCACAGAGGAGGGTCACAGAGGAGGAGCAAGTACCTCTTCACTTACAAATGGATCTGGTCCACAACAGAAAGAAGTGCATTATCGGAACCAGGGCTGGAAATACAATCCCCTGCTGAAGGCAGGATCATCCCTGACTAAACTATACCAGCCAAGTGTCTGTCCATCCTGCCCTTGAAAGTTTCCAGAGATGGAAATTCTACAACTTCTCAAGGTAGCCTGTTCCAATGCTTGACCACCTTCACAGGAAGAAAGTTCTTTCTAATCTCCACGCTAAATTTCCTCTGCTGTGGCTTGAGGCCACTGCTCATAGCCCGACCCCTACAGCCACAGAGAGAAGCCCATCTCTATCCTCTGTATCATTGCCCATCAGGTATTTAAAGACTGTTATCAAATCCCCTCATTCTCCACTTCTCCAGATTAAATAATCCTGGCTCTCCCAGCCTTTCTTCGTAAATCATGCTTCTCAGGCCTCTACTCATTTTTGTTTTTCTCTGCTGGGCTCTTTTCAGTCTGTTCACATCTTTCTTGAAAAGTGGGGCTCAAAACTAGACACAATACAGTACTCCAGTAAGGCCTCACCAGAGTGGCAGAATCACTTCCCTTTAGGGGTGCACTGATAGAGAATTTTTGGGCCGATACTGACGGACAATTTTTAACAAGCCATATCAGCTGATACTGATCCAATTCCAATATGCAGGCAGGCAGCATGGAGAGCAGTGTTCAGCTGGTAAATCTGTTGTGGGATAAGGGGTGAGGGAGAGAAGGGGTGTGGGAGGAGCAAATTGAGGCCCCCATGGTGAGGGAGGGAGTGGGGCAGGGGCAGGTGCAGATGCTGCACAGCTGGGATGGAGCAGGAGACAGAGCCACAAGCAGCTCATCCAGGAGGCGCAGGGAGGGGAGGCGGCTCCTGCTGCTGTATGCACCCCAGGAGGGCATGCAGATCTGCTGGTAAGAAAGGGCGGGCTGCTGCTGCGGGGTGGGGCTGGAGCGGTGCCAGCACTGGGAGGGGCTACAGTGAATTTTGGGGTGGCTTCAACCCCCACCCCCATAGTCTACTCCCAGCGCCACCACCTGCCCAAAGCACAGCTCAGCCCAGCCCCATACTGGGAAGAGCCCACCCCCGGATGAGCTGCTAGCAGCTCATCCCCTGCTCCATCCTGGCTGTGCAGTGCCTGCCCCTGCCCCAGCCCCTCCCTCACAGCAGGGTCCCAGATCTGCCCCCCTACCCCCCACCCCACCATGCCCCTTCCCTCACAACAGACTTACCAGCTGGACCTGGCTGCTCCCCACACTGCTGTGCTGTGGCTGCACATGCATGGGGCATTTAATCAGTGGCATTATCGGGCACATCAGCCAAAAAAAGCCAATTGCTGATACAGTAAATTTTCCTTATATTAGTGCTGATCCAATACGGAGCCAATGCATTGGTACACCTCTACTTCCCTTGGTTTACAAGTGACTTCCTGTCAATACAATCCAGCATACTATTGGCCTTTTTTGTAACGAGAGCACACCGCTGGCTAATATTCAGCTTCTGGTATACCATAAGCCAGAGGTTGCCAACTCCTGGGATGCAAACGGTTAGCTATCAGTCTGCTGGAGGGTTGGCTGCCAGACTGGAAGTCTGGAAGTGACCAGCATACTGCAGAGCTGCAGCCAACCCTTTTTTACTGAGTATAAAGTATGTACTTCTGGACTGCAGTATGCCGGTCCTCAGTTTGCTGGTCTGCAGTCACTTCCAGTCTGCGATCTAAAAAGGTTGAGAACCCCTGCTGTAACCCCAAAGACCTTCTCTGAAGTACTGCAACCTAGCCAGGCATACCCGTCTGTTTGGGCATACTCCGGGAGTGCTCCGGGAGTGCGGGAAGGGGAACGCTTTAATTAAGTAGTTCCAAGAGCCACTCTAATTAAACTGCCTGGAGCATCACATGTCCCACACTGAAAAATGGCAGCAGGGGTACTTTAACTAAAGCTTAAATGAGCTTTAAAGAGCCCCTGCCGCCATTTTACAGCGCAGGGATGCCAGCACACATGACGCTGGATTCTGCTGAAGCGCAGTAACTGCCACACCCAAACAGGCTCAATTAATCGAGTCTGCTCCGATGCACTGTAATTACAGTGCATCAGAGCATCCTTGCTGTACATGTATAGGTGCCCTTTTTGTCTAGGCAATTATTCTGTCCCAAACGCAGCACTGTGCGCTTGTCTTCGTAGAATTTCATTTGTTTGATTGTGGACCATTTTTCCAGTCTGCCCAGGTCATTCTGGATCCTAGTACTGCCCCGCAGAGCATCTGCAATTCCATCCAACTTGGTGTCATTTGTAAGTTTGCTAAGCATATATTCAGTCCCATCATCCTAATCATTAATGAACATGTTGAACATGACCAGACTCGGACAGACCCCTGAGCAACCCCTCCATTATGCCACTGATATTCACTGAGCACAATAATCCAACCAGTTTCTCATCCACTTTAAAGTATTTTTGTCTAGTTTGTATTTCCTTAGCTTGTTAATGAGAATGTTGCGGGACACAGTGTCAGAAGCCTTGCTAAAGTCAAGACACATCACATCCTTTGCTCTCCCCCACTTGCAGAGGCTGTCATCTTACCATAGAAGGAAAACAGGTTGGTCAGGCATGACTTGGCCAGCCTCATTTATGGTGGCTGCAAGTCAGGAGCCAAGGATAGCTCTGGACTTGTAAAGAAGAGGAGCCAGGGTGATGAGGTATTTTTGTACATTGGCATACTCAGAATATTTAAGGCTGAGTTTTCAAGTCCCAATCATCATGTGTTCAGGAAGTTCAAAAAGGGAGTTCAGGAAGTTGAAAGAGACTAAAACCAAACCCAGAATACATCATCTTTTAGAAGAAGAAACGTGGTCAGGTGACTAGGCCTTTGGGAGACCTATGTTCAGTTTACTACCACAGACCTCTTCTGTGATCCTGGACATGTCACTTTATTTCTGTTCCTCAACTCTCCATTTTGGACCAGAAAAACTGGTCTCCCTCTGAGGCAGAAGAAAACTGGGACATTTCATGGAAAAAGAAGGGAAAAACAATAACCCACCAGACTATAACCTCATAGCTGCTCCATGTCCTTGGGATGTGAGTGACCCAAATTAAAGTCTCTGGTTTGAATCAGTGGACCACATCCCAGTCCCTCTAGGTGCATTTACACGTGCATTTAGTTACAACTAAATTTACTGTACAGTAAGTGAGTTAGGGTAAATGTGTACACATGCAGGGACCTGGCACTAAATTTAGTGCTCATTCCCTCCAACCTTGCTATGTGCCCCTGGGGCCACTGGGGAGCTCCCAGGTCTGGTGCCAGCTGCCAGCACCTGGCAGCCATGTTTGAAGCCAGCCCCAGCTGCCAGCACTTGGCAGAATAAGCAGGAGGAAGAAAAAAATATTTGGGTGGGCTGAGCATGTGCACAACCCCCCCCTCCCCCTGAAGCAGGTAAGTCTGTAGGGGAAGGGGCGGGGGGAGAGGGAAGGGTTATGAGGGGCAGATTGAGGCCCCCATGGTGAAGGAAGGAGTGGGGCAGAGGCAGGAGCTGAGGCGAATGGGGATCCAGGGATGAGGCAGATCATGGAAGGGCTGAACCCCAGATGGCTTGTCCGGGGGTGGGGAGGGGGGGGAGACTCCCACCACTGTGTGCACCCTGGGGGGGAGGGGGCAAGGTTATGTGCCCCCCTGATCCGTGTACGGTACAGAGGCAGACTGCCATTGCGTGCTGGGCTCTGCACTCCACTGCCACTGCCTCTGGAGCCGTGCGACACCATGTGCATCCCACAGCTGGGCAGGCGAGGACACGGTGCAGCCCAATGGCAGCAGGTACGTGATGTTGCATGGCTCCAGAGGCAGCAGCAGCAGGGCGCAGAGCCTAGCCCCCAGAGACAGCTTGCCTCAGACCTGCACACCGATTGGTTAGGGGGGCAGAGACCACCTGTCTGCCCAATGCATGTCCTCCCAAGGGCCCCTGCCACCTTGTAGATGCTGCCACCAGCAACGCTGATGAGGGGGCCACTCTCCTGGGCCTCCAGCCCCACCATCTCTGGGTCCATCGCACCAGCCAAAACTGGTGTCAGCACCTAGTGCAGCAGG